TAAGATATATTGCCACTTAGAGGGAGATTTATAGAATTATTGTTCAGGTGGGAAATCAGCTGTACAACTTCAATTACAGTTAATGGGGGTTGTGTGGCAGGAGCCTCATGCACTAAGTAGAAAATATGATCATGGATGCTACTGATATGAGAGTTACATTAAGCCAGTCACTTGTGCCAGATCTCTGAAATCTTATGTTTGGCTCTGATTTCTAGAAAGTCTAAGTATGTTATTCATTCACAAGTAGGAACGTCCACACACAGGCCAATATCTTGTGTAATATGGTACCATGATCGAGTAATCGATAGTCTAGAGGGTCACATGATCTTCTTTGTTCAACTTTAACGCTGTGTTATACAAGAGGATTAACTGATTAAATAAGAATACCTTTAAAATTATGAATATGCTACAATTGATACATCACTTGAATGAGCTCTTTGAAGCATTATTTTCCCCCCTATAATGGCAAAGAATTGGCCCCTATAATGGCAAAGAATTCATACATTCTTAAGTATCTTCTGGCTTACCAAAGGCTTGAGTGAGTGGGGTGGTTGTCTGGATTTTAAGGCCCCACAGTGGCTGTAGAAGTCCCCTCTGTATAGATTGAAGTAGATGACACAAACAGCAAACTCATTTTGCTAACTTTGCAGAGCCTTATTCTATCCCAGTGGTGTTCCAAGCATGGCCTCCAGTCCAGCAGATCAGCAGCACTTGAGAGCCTGTTCAAGGTGCAAATTCTCAGGCCCCAGCACAGACCTGCTGAGTCAGCAACTCTAACCCTGGGGCCCAGCAATGTGTGTTTTAGCATGATAAAACCACTGGTATGGCAACATAAATTTTAGGTTAATACTTTATGGTCTGGACATTCACTCATATTTTTGAAGTCCATACATATCTCTGAGATAGTGGAAGAAGGAAATAGCTTCCCTGAACAAATCAGCAAATTAAGGCAAAAAGTTACATAATTGAACTAAAATGGTATAGTTAGATGAGAGAAGTGACAGTCCCAGACAGAATAGGTCTCTCAACCACACAGACAACCCAACTGTTGAGCATCGAGCCTGCCAGTGGATCGTTTGAATACCGGCAACTGACCCAGCGCATGTTGGGCAATTTAAAATCCTTGTTCATGGAATCAATGTCTAGATTCTGTTGTCTTTTTTAAAAATTGAATTATTTTAGAAAATATGAAGAAAACCAAATGACTCCTTTTCAAAATACCCAAACAGTTGAGGTTTATTTTTAATAATCTCTAACTTTGAGTCTGTATTTATCTTTAACTGTTCCATAAATATTTCTGGACCCAAATTATAAACTAAGGGTTTAGGATACAGAAATAAAAATCACAGTCCCTGCCTTCAAACATATTTGTTACATCTAGAAAAGAGGTAACCTATGGTTGCCAGTACAATTTATGTTCCTCTGTACCCAAGCAAGAAAAGTGCTTTTATATACATCACATTTTTTCTCCTTAAACATGGTCCCAAAGATAATAAAGAATCAGGCAAAAAGTCCGTCAGGATATTTTTTAACACAAACTTGGTTGAAATATTCTATTGTACCAGTGATTGCAACCAAAGTACACAAGGCTTTAAATTCCTTCATAAATATAAAAAAAGATTAAAAATTTTGCACAATTAATGTAAGAAAAATATTTGTCAATGCCATCATTAAGTAATGGTATGATGTGTTTGTATTATGTTCTTTGCATTACACACAAATACTCATGTGTAAATGAAACATAGGAATTAAATCTAGCACAATCTGTTATAATTAATATTTTCAAAAATTAAATTCTTCATCAGTTAAAATCTCCCATGAAAATATGTGTGCTTATCATAAATTATATCATTGCCATGCCTATTGCCATTGAAATGTTAAGATTTTTTCAAATGATTGTTTACTGACAAAAAGTTAACACTGCCCAAAGAACTAAAATCAACTTTATGTGTGAGTTTTTAGTTTCTCTAAACACGCATTGTGGAAAAGGTGTCTTTTCTGCAAAGCCTCTCCCAATTCTTAGAACACTCCTCTTTTTGTTTTGTTTTTTTGTTTCAAGTTTTATATTTAAATTCCAGTTAGTTAAGATATAGTGTAATATTAGTTTCAGGAGTAGAATCTATTAATTCATCAGTGCCCAGTGCTCATCACAAGTGCCCTCCTTAATCCCCAACACCCATCTAAGCCCCCCACCCACCTCCCCTCCAGCAACCCTCAGTTTCTTCTCTGTAGTTAAGAGTCTGTTTTATGGTTTGCCTCTCTCTCTTTTTTTCCCCCATATGTTCATCTGTTTTGTTTCTTAAATTCCACACATGAGTGAAACCATATCATACTTCTCTTAATAAAATGATCAGCTTTTAATATACATTTTGGTTGGGATGCTTCTAGTTGTACCTTAGAGAATTTCTTAGTACCTATTAAAATGCCATAATGAAAGTAAGGAAACTTTGCTATATAAGTACATCATGAAGAATTATATCAAATTATGTTTTAGTTGTCATAGTTTCTCTGTGTCCTTTCTGAGCAGCCAAAGGTTCTCATTCTTGACGGAGAGTGTTGGTGAAGAGATATACAGATGACTTGCAATTAAATCATATTTTTGATCTTTAGTTTTGGATTGATTTGCTAAAAATAACCTTAGATGTTTATGCCAATTGACAACACATCTACAATCTTCTTTTGCAATTTCCTCTTCAGGGGGATTCAGGAGGACCATTAATGTGCCAAGAAAACAACAGGTGGTTCCTGGCTGGTGTGACATCATTTGGATACCAGTGTGCACGGCCTAATCGTCCAGGGGTGTATACCCGGGTCCTGAGGTTCACAGAATGGATACAAAGTTTTCTACAGTAGAGTGTCTCCTAAACCAACATGAAAGTCATGCTGTTTCCCCATTTCACTCTAAGGAGCATTTAAATTGAGACTTTTGTCAAAATGGCTTCTAAAAGACTTTATTCTTACCTAAGTCACTGCATGCTGAGGTGTGAGGGTGCACACAAAAAATAATCTTTATCATACAAAGTAACTTTAAAATAATATACTTTGATTTCATTGTGAAGAGCTAATCTTTCACAGAGATCATCATTTCCTTTGTTTTTAATCATTTTTATCAAATTCTCTTATTCAAAGGAATGCTATTGTAAAGCATATACTATATACTTAAACTTTGACAAGATTAGGAAGAGAAGTGAAATAAACTGCTTTGCAGAGTATGTTGTTATTTGAAGCAAACTGCTATAAATTATCTAGTTCCAGAATCTCAATATTCTTCCCACTTTTCTATCTAAATGCATTTCCAGTTCATCTTGAACATATCCTTAATATTTTCCCCAGTTATAAAAAATATGTATTTTAAGCTCATATCACAGACGTGGACTAAATTGATTGTACAGTTCTCTCAAGTTAATTAAACAGCAAACAAGCACAAGTCTATGTATCACCCTTGTATCAAAATAAAAAGTAAATTAACTGATATTGTCATTCTGTTATTGCATCATTTTTTACCTGGATTAACATCCATTTATTTCAAGCTAATATTTTTTAAGTTTCCAAAAAGTAATCAGACATATCCAAAAAATACAACTATTACAAATGGGTTTTTTTTTTCTGATCTATGTGTTTTACAGTGAATGTTTTTAACATGTGCAAAACTTACTTAGACACAACTGAATCACCCATTAGAAGCCCAAAAATGTGGAATAAATGAATTTGCTTCACTGCTTTAATCTTTTGGATCATTTCCAGAGTAAGTGCAAACTTCAATTTAGCTTACCACACAAAATCTATTGATTTATTTGGGAAGAAAAAATTCACACACACACACACACACACACACACACACAATTGCTTGGGTCTATACGGTCCAAAGTAACAAAAGAAAGAGTAGGTTTAAAGGAGTGTAGACTGGCTCTATGGAAGAAACACGATTTGGGCTACATTTGAAAGGAATAATTATGATTGATGTATTGAAGAGGCATTGGGGTCACTGTGTAGGTAGGGGTTCAGGGAAGTTCAGAGATTGAGGATAATAGATAATCATGTGTTGCTGTACCAAAAGTCTCTCTCTCTGGGGAACAGAAAAAGGGAAAACAATGTCATATAAGAAAACTGTGGCCAGATAATTGGGCACTACAAATTTGGTGAACAACTGTGGTATTTATTCTCAGGACAAAAATCAGGAATCCCCGAACACACTACTCCTTTTAAGACCTTTCCAATGACTTGATCTTAGAAGCAGTTAGAAAGGATGGAGAAACAGGGGTAGAGTTGATTTGTTTGATTTTACTACCTGGATATTGTTCCACAATTCACCTGCATTTCAATACACATATTATTAGAACTATGTTCTGAAAATACAAACACAACAGATACACCAGGTACCATGTACTCCTTCTCATTTTTCAGAGGTCAGCTAAAAGTTTAAGAAACCCTAAGGACAGTCTCACCGTCACTGTCTAATAAGAGGGAAGTTGACTGAATGGGCGTGGATCAAGACAACAGGCAAAACCACAGCCCTCCCCCATCGCCTTGCCTCTCCCACCATGCAGCTGTTGTGGTAGTCGTGGGGGCACAGACGATGGGGAAAGCACTGTCTCCCTTCCCTCAAGTCCTGACCGAAGGAAGGAACGCACGGTGGGAGCTTGGAGGGAAGAGGTAGATCCCAGCAGAGAAAGGGAGTGCTAAATGTGGCCAGATTGGAGCTTAGAATGCAGCTGTCTGTTCTTTCCCTCAGTCTCTAAGCCACTGAAAGGGTGCCAATGCCCGCTCATTTCTATTTGTCTCTAAGTTTTGCCAACCAACTTCGGTTGTGAATTGCCTTAATGAAAGCTCTTTCTTTTCCAACTTAAATGGTTTACCAGGGAAAAGATGAGGTTTAAAATGCTCCATAACCCCAACTTCCATTCATACCCTACCTCAACAGTCATCTGTCTTCCTCTTCAGGTACTGCTGCAAACATATCTATATTTCGTTCACTTAAAAGATTTAGACAATACCCATGGTCATTCTTCAGAAACAAGAACTTTTTATTTAGTTAAAAGGAACACAGGGACATTTGAAGACCAGATAGTTACAAGTCTCTTGAGAAGGAGCCACAAGCGTTGAAGAAACTAGAGAAGATAAGACAAGAGGAGCCGCAGTTCACTCTCTCAGGCAAATCCTCAACACGAACACATGATCACTGATGCCCTCCAACCCATGTTCACAGTAATACACGGTTTCTCTCCTTGGTGAAATATCCTTATGCTGTGCCTACCTCCACACTGATGGTGACCATGCACCTGGTCCCAACCATGAGACCACTTTACCTGCTGATAGTGGCTGAACAGAGCTAGGGGAGAACCTTAGGCCTCCTCTGCAGCCATCTGCTTCCGGTGTTAATCCCCGCCCCCAAACAACCATCTTTGTTTTGTGGGCAAGGGAGGGACTAAATTGATTCCAGAATCCTCAGAGAGCTACTTGTGGTTATATAGGCAACATGTGAAGACATATGATTTATATTGTGTATGCCGCTTTTGTTTTGTTCTAGACTGAGTGTAATATTGTTGATACAGCTATTAACAAAGTTATTATTACAAAATCTGTTGAATTTTAAACTAAAAATAACTGTAAGGCACATGTCTTGCACAATTGAAATTAGACAATTCTTGCCTCTAAGTAAAATATTGGAGTAAATTTACACCACGGTTAATGAAAAAGCTTCTTATTTCTGAAGAGATTTCCTAAACATTGTCTGACCCCAGAGCAGAGAAACTGAAAGAAGATGAACCATTTCTATAAAAGAAACTTCTTCTATGGTAATAGACCAACATGTGTGTGGATTCAGTTGAAAACAGTGATACATTTCTTTAATCAAAACAACATGTATTGAAAAATGAAACACCATAGAAATAAATACTAGAACAGCCCATTTTTATCAAACACTTATGTAAAGGTAAAATACTTTTGCACACTGTAAATTTTAGTACAATTTACATTACATTAACTAGATTATAACTTATGAAAAGTGACAGAAACAAAAATAACTGCTTCCAACACATACACTTCTCTGATGTGTTGACAGCAATTTTATCAGCATGGTCCATTCCATTTACTTGAAGTTTGGGTGCATCCTTTAGCGAAATAAGCATGTCTCACTCCATTATTAGCACAGCGTATTTTGTAAATGAAATAATAGACATATAAAAATTATTTTAATATTTGCCTCAAGGGGGAGCTTACAGTTCATCTTGCAGATCCTTTGAGATTTCAAGCCATTCCAAGCTAATGTTCTGATGCCATTCCTGATGCAGATCCAGGATTAGAAAATCTTATTTTCTGTTCTGGAGCCAAGGCAGTGAATTATTATACCTCCATGCCACTTTCTTTTCTGGTGCTTTTTGAAATCCACAGTGTGGACTGGGTTGGGCTAGTTTTTGTTCTTCCTTTACTGAAAAACATAAGAAGACGTAAGTTCAACGTCTGAGACTTTTTATTGAAATAGGCATGTTTTGGTCCAAATGGAGATATTTCAGACCCCTATTATAAAAGGGTCTTTCTTCTCTCACCAGCATATCTACAAAAAATTCTAGATTATTCCAGTATGTGAAGATGGTAAACAGGTCATGTGAAATGATGAAAAAATTTAATTGATCTCTGTTTGACCCTTCTTAGTTTAAAATTCAGACACATTCAAACACACACACGCAAATGTGTTTGACATAATACCAAAAAGTTTCATTATAATCACCCATAAATCTTCATTTTATTTGATCAGTGATTTTTGAAATTTTGCTTTTTGGATATTCTTCCATTCACATATGCTGTATTTGTTGCTAAATCATCAAAATGGTGCTTTTGTCTTAAGTGTAAGGACCTTCCTAATCCTCCTCCCCTCGATTTTCCTGATCCCTGAAAGTTTGGTTTTCCTTCAGTCTCTGCAACCAATGTAGTTCAAGGTAGATTCAGGCCTTGATGACTTAGTTCCTTGAGATCTGAGACTGAACTTCCCTCTTACCAGATACAGAATCCAAGCCCACACTTCCAGCCCCCCGTATAGGGCTGGCTGTCTTCTCACTCTTTCCATAAAATGGCCACTTCTCAGGCTCCTGCGTAAATGCCTCTTCCTGAGTTTATCTCCACAAATCGTCCTCTACCAGGCTACTCATCAAGATCTAGATTCCTGGGTCTCATTTCCTGAGAATGAACCCTCACCTGGATCACTTAACCACTTCTAGTTCCTGGACCCTGGGTCCTGCACTTCCTGCCTCCGACAGACAGTCCCCTCACGGGGATCTGCCCCACACCCCACAGGTAGCCCATTCCATCTACTCTCAGTTTACCAGAAGTGGCAGAACTCCTTCCAAGACAGAAAAGAACTCTTCCGAACAAGCCCGAGCAATACAATTCTATAATATTACTTAACTGACTTCAATTTAACTGTGGATTTCTTACTAATAAAATGTTATGCCTAAATTATATGTTTTGGAGATTTGCTTCCAAAAAAGTAAGACCAACACATCTTTATCTACGAAGTCATCTAACATGAATGAAAAATAAATCAAGTAAAGTTTAACAAGAAATTTTTTCAAATGGTAGATAAAAGGTGGTTAAGTTATTAATGTAACTTAAATTTTTGTGTAGCATTAGTATTTCATTTAAGAGTTACTACCAGTTAAGGAAACAAGTTATTATTTTGAACATGACATGGAATGATATAAATCATTATGTGTACCAGATTGGAATTTAAACTTTCTGCAAGGCACTCAGATGATAATGGAGTTGAGTCTTTGGTGAAGTTTCTCCTTGCTTTCCTGGAAGAAAGGAAAAGGGGATGATCTAAGAACGAATGAATTAAGCACTACAGCTAATTCCGGCATCTGGGGGTACTCAGTTTTGGTTTATTTTCTCACTCTGAGATTTTCAAACAAGTGAAAACTCCTCAGATCTTCAAAGGTATAAAAACCTGGAAGACTTTCATATGAATAGAATCTCCACAATACTACACTATTTGGAAGAAGAAAAACAAACTTTAGAGAAACCTCAGTTACTGGAACTTTAGCAATTTTTATTTTAGAAATGACAATGTCTGCATAATATTTTTTAAATTGCTTTTTCAAGACGATTTGTTATTTACAGCTCTTCCTTAACAGTTTGCTGGATTAAGGGGAGATTTATATCACATCCTCTCTCTACTTCTCTGGTTTTCAAAATGACTAATCATCTTTCCATCTATAGTCTCAGGAATTAAGGGAAGAAATGAGATATTTACTATCATCTTTTTTCTGTACAAAATATTACAAATAACTTTTAACTGTGTTTCCCAGAGATATTGGAAAACCCAAAGGACACAAAATGTAGTATTAATTCACCAGGCTTTACTTATCATTATTCAAAATGTCTTATTTAAACAACCACTTCGTGTCCTTTAAATAATTTATGTGAATCACTTAGAGTTTACATATATTTAAAGGTTTTTTTTTCCCCTGGGGCTTTTTTTACTTAGTGGATCTTTATGGTTTATTTCAGAAACAGATGAAGATGAACTCAAATCAAAAGAGACATATGACTTCATTTGCAGGTCCTTCCCTGATGAAGTCACTCAGTTTTTGTTTAAAATACTAAGAAAGGTCCTTGTTCGGGACCAAAAAATAAATAAAATAAAATAAAATAAAATAAAATAAAATAAATAAAATAAAATAAAATACTGACAAAGATGGCTGGTTTATTCTAGCAAATATGCTCTCATTTAAATCCAACATCTTTTCCTTTTTCTTTTAATACATATTTGTATTTCATATATTAATTTTTTAATTGATAAATTGACACACATGAAAAAATTTCACCTTTAACTCAAGGATATGGTTAAATAGATATAAAAGAATACCCCCAAGAATCTTGCTATTAAGATATATCATTTTGAAGGAAGCTGCCTACTAAAAGTGACCTATTTTTACCATTGTACTTTATTTCCTATACTCCGAGATCCTTTGGAAATAAACAACCACCTATGGCTTAAAATTTTGAAAAGGTATTACAGAGTGTACCCAAGAATCAAGTCTTGCAAACAACTTGGGGTCAGGATTGGAAGGTTTAGCATTAATGCTTATACGTAGTAAGAGATAGTAAGGTAGAGTTGCGTATGAGTCAGCTTACAAGGATTCAAATTTCAGATCCACCACACACTCTAGCTATGAGACCCAAGGCAAAATGGGTAACCCGTCTAGGCCACCATCTTCTCAACTGAAAAATATAGACAAAAGAGTACCTACTTCGTATGATTTGTGAATATTACATGAGATAATTCATGAATCCTATAATCAAGGCCTATCTTATTAGATTGTATATAGTGGATTTGTATGGACAGATATGAAAATCAGAACTTTCTTAAGGCAAATTAAAAATATAATTGTATAATTTTTAAACGAGTTCTGGAAAACCTATATAAAACTTTTCAAGTTGTCTCTACATACCTGAATTACTTACCTTTTATGCAGCATCTGGAAACAGCAGGTTCCAAAAGCAACCAGTATCAATAAAAGCAGTGGGATTGTTGGTATAACAACATAAATTAGATTGGGAATTATGCCTAAAAAAGCAAAACAGTCTTAGTATAAAAAGATGGCTGAGGTAGAATTCTAACACTAAAATTATATAAACATTTTCCAAAACTTTAAAGTCAAATAGAATTATTATAAATAAATGAATTCTGAGAAAGTTTCTTCCCCAAATATTGAATAATCTAATGAAATAATATATTTGTTTGATAAAAATTAAAAACAAAAACTTACTTCACTGGTTGCCATGCTCCGATTCAATGTCCATATTTCTAAAACTATTATTAAATCTGCAATTTAGATAGGGGCTAGTTTTCATGACATATTAATAATCTTAGCTATCTCACTTCATTAATCCTTCTCAGTTATTACTTTGAGAAACAAGCACTGATTATTAAAATAATTGTTGATTTATTGGTTATATAATTATCCTAGCCAATAAGGTCAATTCCATGGTGATATGCAAGACTCTCTGGGATTAAATCAAAATATTAAATATTAGTAAATATTAACTAATGATACAGTCATAACCCAGAGATGCAAGATTCCAGAACCATAAAGACTTGATCTTAATTCTAAAATGAATCATTTTTTAATCCTGTTCCATCACACTTGATAACGTTAGGTATTCTTGGTAAAATAAAAAACTGCCGCACTTAAGCCCCATACAGATTAAAATCACCTTATTAAACATTTTTTCAAGGTCATAAGAGGGAAAATATTCCTCATGTAATTATTTACTAGCATTTTTAATTAGATTTAGATGTTCTGACTGGTTTTAAAATCAGGCACCTGAAAAGTAAAAAGCACTAAGGTTTAATATCATGTCCATATAAGAAAAGCAAATTGAAAACTATGCATTTCTCTAGGAAATCAGAAGCTGTCAGCATTACCAATCTAGACAATTCTAGTCAAAGTGGACCAGACTTAGATCAAACTATCCACTTAACTGTACATCCTGTCCTTTGTTAACAAAAGATATATTAACTGAGGTCTAGTGATGGGGTATTTGGGGGGTAACTTGCTATGCTTTCACCTAATTTTGAGCCCCCAATACATGACTTCAAGGATTTTAAGGATTCAAGGAAATATTTTCATTCCTTTTCCAAATACCATCATGATCCCTTATATATAATAGTCAAGAAGAAGAGAAAGTATTTCCTACTCTTCCATGGATTTTGGATCACCTACAGAAAGACCCTGAGACTTTGGGTCTTTGGCTCAATCTTCACAAAGTAACTAGGATAAATCAAGATTTCTGCCTGGTGGTCACAGGACCATGCCAAAAGAGCACCCAACTAATGCTAACAGCAGCTTCTGATTGGGATTTACAATTCCAATCAGGGAATGTGCAATTTGCACTGGGATTCCATTGTTTTCTTTGGCAGAGGGTGCTGTGCTAGGGACAGCTGGGTTGAAAGATACAAATCAGGCTTTTTCTTTTATACCCACTCCCACATCAGCCACTCCTTAAACATTTACCAGCACACCACTGTTGGTAAGCCACTGAATGTGCCAATTTACATCCTAATGCCTATGTGTTATGCGGAAGGTTCTAGGGAATCCAGGTTTTCAGGTGGATTACTTAGTTTATTACTAGATATGTCTACTTGAAGTGAAAAATTAGGAAGGAAACAAAGTAGATTCTTCTGTTCAAAAACTAGCTTAGCATTATTAGTTCAAAAGTAAATTTCCATAGGCCAAATTCAGTGCACCATATCATCGAGCAACATGAAAAGTTAGGGCCAGCATGAAGCAGAGTTTAAAATTACAGATTCTGCTCTTGATAGAGGGGTTAAAAATGTGAATTCATTACCTGCTTCAGTAACAACCACATTTTGATGGGTGTCTCCTGGTTGATTTGTAAAATAAGTCTTTTCTACAGGAGAAGTTGGGTTAATCTCTGTAAATAATAGGTACAGGCATCATATATAATGACAAAAAAGAGAAATAGAAATGTAGATGAAAATAAAACTTTATAATAAAACAATGTGAACACCAGAGTTTTGATTTCTGAATAATTTACAGATAAAAATTGTATCTTGAATTTATATTTACATGAAATTGTTCAACTGTGAAGTCATCATTTAATTATCTTTGAATAAAGCATCCACTTGGTGAATCTATTTTTTATTTTTGTTTTTTTTCACTTGGTGAAACTTTACAACTCGGATCTCCTTGGTGAACCCTTGCAACCCCAAAACTGCATTTAGTCATCAGTGGTGTGTCTATACTGATGACAGCTTGGTACCAGCAATAAGGACCAAACAGGTAGAAAGCAAGGCAAAGAGAAGCAGGAATTAGGAGTATCACAATGTGAGATACTCAGTGCAATTCAAAGACAAGCATAGAAGACTTCTTCATTAATATCAGTATAATATTTAGGTTTCTCCTTGCAGTAATAATCATCAGATGACTACACATGGATTGCATTTGGAATGGATGATTCAAGTAACAATGTTCTAAAGCCCGTTTCTGTCCTAGAAAAACAATGCCATACTTAAATGTGCTTTCCAGTAGTGTCTATTTCTTTAAAAAAAAATAATAAAAAATTAAGGCTTGCAAGTCCTTTCTTTCCTTGGTTTTATGAGACAAGATCTCTTCAATGGTTATACAATTTAAAAATGTCAAAATTTCTTACCATGATCTGGTATTGCTGTGCTGCCTATTTTTTCCCCTAGGGCACTATTTGGTAAATTAATAGTTCACTGAAAGTAAATTGAATCAATAAGAAAAAAACTTGTAGGGCGCCTGGGTGGCTCAGTCGTTAAGCGTCTGCCTTCGGCTCAGGTCATGATCCCAGGGTCCTGGGATCGAGTCCCACATTGGGCTCCCTGCTCGGCAGGAAGCCTGCTTCTCGCTCTCCCACTCCCCCTGCTTGTGTTCCTGCTCTCGCTATCTCTCTCTCTGTCAAATATATAAATAAAAATCTTTAAAAAAAAAAAAAAAAGAAAAAAACTTGTAACTTGTCTTCATTTTTTTCAAAAATATAATTCTCTGTTTATGTTTGTCAATTGATGGAAGAGAAGAAAACACATGCAGATTTTACATTAGTTTAGCATGTTAAATCATTTTTAATACTATGTTGGCTGCTCTAATATGGCCACATAGTCTTTCTTTACTGGAGCGCTATCATAGGCTATCCTGTAATAATATTTATTATTCTTCTAAACATATTTCACCCTAACACTTCAATAGCCTCCTGTTGGTTTTAGATACAGTCCTACCCTACACTCATTTTTCTACAGAACTTAGGCACTCTATGCTGGTTGCTGCACAAATATGACAGATATTATGTAATTTATCAACATAGAATTGGTTGTTTTAAAACAATAATCTTAATAATCTTTAAATTGATGTAATTTCTGATTAACAACTTTTTTTAAAGATTTATTTATTTATTTATTTGAGAGAGAGAATGAGAGGGAGCACATGAGAGGGGGGAGGGTCAGAGGGAGAAGCAGACTCCCTGCCGAGCAGGGAGCCCGATGCAGGACTCGATCCAGGGACTCCAGGATCATGACCTGAGCCGAAGGCAGTCGCTTAACCAACTGAGCCACCCAGGCGCCCCTGATTAACAACATTTTAGAAACTTAACCCATATACACTATTTTTAATGTCTAAGAACAAGAGCGCATAATGCAATTTTAATACATACAAAAATGAGATTCAGAAGTATCCCCATAAAAATATCTTAGGATAACACTGATAGACACAAAGAATAGATAAGTGACTCACGGGGCAATAACCAAAAATGGAGAAGAGAGTGAGAAAACCAATTAGTGAGTTATTCAGTTTCTTCATAACTATGTTAATTGTTTACCACTTGAGATATCATTAGTCATATTATTAGAAGGTATGTAGGGGGCAGAAAGAGGAGACTAAGTTCAAACCACACAGCACTTCTGGTAGTTGGAGAATAAAGTTCAAAATAATTGTTCTAATTCACAAATTTTAATAAATCCCATTGCTTACTCCTCCAACCCCCTCACCACCAAAAACTAATTCTCGACTAAAAGAGCACTGACTAAATAAGCAAGAAATATAATCAAACCAGCATCCTCCATAAATAAAACACTAAGCTCAAGGAAGGTTAACAGATAGAAAATAAATATTTAAATTAAAATAAAGAAATAAATATTTAGAATATTTAGAATATCAGAGTAAAGAAAAAATAAAATAAATATTTAAATTAAAATAAAGACTAAAAATTCTAACTACATTAATAAGATCATAAATGTAGCTATATATTTATAACTATAAAACTGTACATGTGCATCAAAAACAAAAAATACATAAAGGAATCTTATTCACAACGTATAGATTATTTGAAGATTTAGGCAAAATATAGAAGATAAAGAAAAAATAATTCTTTATCTTAAATGCTCTTCCATGAATAATATGAACCCAGATTACCTACACAAAATAAGTAAAGAAGATTCTGCGCTTGACAGTGTCCTGAATAATTTGGTAAGTAGGAATTCAAAATAAAAATAAAATAAACAAATGTATGAAGGGCCAAAGAGTTTACCTAAAAGCACAAAGAAAGGAGAAAGAAATATTAAGAATACTCTATAACATACTTTCATTCAATAGTTTCAAGTACATAGTATCACCGATTGAAAATATCAGAGGATTTCAACTTTATATTTTTCCAAGAAAAAAAATAAAGACAAAGAACATAAGTGCCTAACAGATTTGGCTTTGCAAAGGCTTCTAAGAGGGTGATGATGGATTTAGGGCTTTAAAGAATAAACTCACCGGGGATACAGAAAGCTGGCTAATATACTGAAGAGCAGGATAAATATAAGAGAAGGGTAAATCTAATCCAAATAATCCCTTGTGCTTTAAGGTCTTATGAGAAAGGAATCATGTAATTTCAAGAGAATAATGGAAATAGCAGTACTTGATTATAATTGCCTTCCATGAACACATTATGAGGTCAAGTAGATAGCCCCTCAGAAGACTTAAAATGACATTTCCCAACACTGAGGAGGAGACAAACATCAAAAAAAACTCTCAAAGCCTAAGTGTCCAGTTTGACTTTATTAGGTGATTAAAAAAATTAGTTTACATAATTTTGATTAGTCTCTACTTTTGGTCAAATATTAATTTAGTGGAACTGTCCTCTTCAAAGTGATTCAAATTTACTATGTCCACAGGAAACCCCACCAGTGTAGCTCAGGTCAATGCAATCTTCCCACGTTGCACATGGCAAGAAATTGGAGATTTCAAACAAAAGCTATCTAAGGGGGCAGATTCCAAAGAATGACAAAAAAGGAAGACCATGGCAAATGCCCCTACTTTTTTTCCACTGTGGCTCAGTGAGCTAGCATCAGTCTGACTTCCACTGAGGAGCACATGTGAAGCAGCAATGCCTACAAATGAGAAGCTAATGTTCCAGGAGGAAGTCGCTTTGTTCCCTTAAATGCATCGGATAATCATCCAACGATCTGTCGCTCACATGTGTAAATCTCTAGGTGCTTTGGTGACTTATACCTACTTCACACACGTTACACTAAATATTTAAAATATTTTAAAATAGATATTTATTCTTTGTAAAAATCTGTTTACAAAAACACAATTTGACCTTAACGTTAGACATGTTATTTTCTCTTAAAGACACGTCTCCAGATGGGTTCTAGTTACCCCCTTCCGCTTAACTGATTGGGCAGTTTGCTCTATAACATAAAGTATATTTCAAGACACCGAGCACTATGACAAGCTGCAAATAAAGTCCAGGTTTCACGGCAGAGAAACACAGAGAAAAACAAAGAGCCATAGGCAGCGAAGCCTAAATAGAAATAGTGAAGATCAAAACTATTAGCAAATATGCACAAAATCTGCTATACCTATTTATGGTATTTCCTACCTGGTTCGTACTTGCAGATGTAATTGTGCTTCATGTTGCACCTGTCATCGTTCCACTGGTAAAGGTAGGGACCCCCAAGGCCTGGGTTGGCTGTTGGTTGATGGTACATCACAACACACTTTTCACTTCCGCAGGAAGGTTCATCGGTATACCAGTTTCTGTAAACAGAGCAACAGGAACACCTCCAAGTGATTTCACCCATTCTATTCTTTTTGTTTTGCTTTTTGTTTCAAGGTTTTATTTAAATTCCAGCTAGTGAACATAGAGTGTAAAACCAGTTTCAGGAGTAGAATTTAGTGATTCATCCCTACCATATAACACCCAGTGCTCATGACAACAAGTGCCCTCCTTATTCCCCATCACCCACTTGGCCTCTTCTATTCTGACATCCTCTACAGGTGAACAGAAATCTCCCTTCTCCGTTTTGAGCACCCCAGAGAACATCCAAGTCTGCAGGATCCCTACTCACCGGTACTGGGAACCGCTTCCATCAGACCACTGGTAGAGATCTGGGCAAGCACCAGATGTTTGCCCCTCTCCGTTTCGCCAAAGCCCTATCCAGAAATCACCATCAGAAATCCCCGTTCCTGGTTTTGTCAGGTTTTGCAACATACTTTCTATTAGCTTCTGTTCTGCTTCATTCTCCAGGCTGAGAAGGGCTCCCCCCTCGCTCTCACAAGCCAGGCGTGCCTCCTGGAAGCTCACTCGGCTGGACAGTTCATGGAAGTAGGCCATTTTGTAGCAGGGATGCTTGAGGTCAGCGAAACACACCTTTTGGCCTGAAAAAAAGATGCTATGCATTGATTATCTGAACCATATTCATAACGCTACTATGAATTAAGATTAAAGAACCAGGGCGCCTGGGTGGCTCAGTCGTTCAGCGTCTGCCTTCGGCTCAGGTCATGATCCCAGGGTCCTGGGATCGAGCCCCACATCGGGCTCCCTGCTCAGCGGGGAGCCTGCTTCTCCCTCTCCCACTACCCCTGCTTGTGTTCCCTCTCTAGCTGTGTCTCTCTCTGTCAAATAAATAAATAAAAATCTTAAAAAAAAAAAGATTAAAGAACCAATCAATACAGGATATACTCTCCCAAGACTGATTCTTCCATTGAATCATTTTCTAAGGCTTATTTTTTAAATTATTACTTTCAATTTATAAAAGCAAATTGATTCCCTAGTAAACTTGTAATACAAACTTTGAAACACCGTACTTCAAGAAAATTTTTGTTAAGGGAACTCATGATTCTTCTGGCTTAGATACAAACTAATTACCACAGCAAATGAAAGTAGCTAGAGAAATTTCAGGTATATAGAGCAAAGAGAGCTAAAAGGTCAAAATTATGAAAGAAAAATAATTCATAAAATAATTTAATTTTTAAAAACAAGTAAAGTAAAAAAAAGCAATGCATAGAGGGTATCATGAAAAAGATATAAGGTGGCAAATTTAAGGTGTAGATATTCTCTTTTATTGCATATACATGGAAGCAAATACATTAAAATTGGAAGTTAATAAAGGCCAGAATGAAGGTAATTCTAGTAATAACTTGTTAATAAAATACGGCATTAGAAGTGACAGGATAGATTTCTAGAGTACTCTAGAGTAATCTTTGAAAAAATTCTCATTGCCAATTCTCTGAATATTTTCTGGTTTTATAGGACATGCTGTGTGTGAGCTCCAGTTGTTCAGCCAATGACTTCTCTGTTTTTACACAGACATCTCAAATGAGTTATAAACTCCAAATAAGGGATGCCTAGGTAAAGGCTCAGTTGGTTAAGCGTCTGCCTTCGGCTCAGGTCATGATCCCAGGGTCCTGGGATCAAGTCCCACATCAAGCTCCTTGCCCAATGGGGAGTCTGCTTCTCCCTCTGCCTGCCACTCCCCCTGCTTGTGCTCTCTCTCTCTGACAAATAAATAAATAAACTCCAAATAAAATTTCCCAAATTTGAACTTAAGATTTTATCTATTTGAGAGAGAGAGAGAGAATGGGAGAAAGTGAGTGCACATGAATGGCGGGGGGGGGGGGGGGCAGGAGGGAAGGGGGGGTAGAGGGGGAGGGGAAAGAATCTCAAGCAGACTCCAAAACCTATGTGTGGGGGTCATGCTGGATCTCACAACCCTGAGATCACAACCCCAACAGAAACAAGAGTTGGATGTTCAACCGACTGAGCCACCCAGGCACCCCTGAACTTAGAGAATCAAATACTTAAGCAAATAAACAAAAAAGAAATGCATTTTAAATGTGAAACAAACAAACACATAAGATAATGAAAGGAGCTATTAAAATCTCATCAATTGCTAATTGTTGTTAATCTCTGATAACTTGGATAGAGATCAGGGTAAACTGAAATTTGGCCAAACTTGTCTTTCAAAGACAGTTAAATCATTAGCTAAAAACAAATTAGGTGACATATATGAGAACAAATAATTTTTCAGCTTTAGAGTCTCCATTTATGTATTAAATGAAGCCATATTAAATAAAATGACTTCTTCAAATTTAACCTAAAAAATGCCCTATAAACTAGTTGAAATTATTTCTTTTATGAGTCTGAAAGTGGTAACACTGCATTTCTTTTCAACTTTCCCTAAATTAGGAGCACCTGTGTGGTTCAGTCAGGTGAGCATCTGACTCTTGATTTACTTCCGCCCCCTTATACCACCAGACAAGTATGCCAAATCATAGAGACAAGCTCCAGAACACCATCCAGTTTTGTTTTGTTTTTCATTAGTTTCTTTGGTTCACTTCTGATCTCTGCTGTCAACTTTAAAAACTGCCATGCATCCCTCTTTGTCACTGTTTCTTATTCCCAACCTGCTGCCCACAGCCTCTATTACTTTCTTCGCCTTTTTCCGATTTCAGTTTAGATTTGGCCTCAGAAAACAGACTACCAAGTATTTCATGTAAAATTAAGTCAAATTACTTCATGCTAAGAAATTAAGGCAGAGCTCTACTGCTTTCTTAAGATTTGTCTGCATGAACATTATTCTTATTGGGACTGAAGGTTTTTTCAGCAGGTATTTAATTTTGTAGCTGATGGAGAAAATTTGTCAGTAGTGGAGGAAGGGGAGTGTTATTGTACTTAAACACTGGCTAAAAAATACAGCATTCAAGCTTTGTACTCTTAATTACAGTACATCACACTGAGTCAACATCAGTATCACATCCATTCTCCCCCAGAATCAGCAATTAATGACCTATGATGACACTCAGAGTCAGGAGGGCGCCAAAATCAGGAGGCCATTAACCTCACCACAGTGTTTGAGTGATAGGCATTCAATATCATGGCTCAAGCTGAGAACAGCCATCTAATGAAATAGTTGCAGCCATGCAAGCAAGCCAGCCAGTTGTCCTCTGTCTCATTAACTGTGATCTGGACCCAGGAGCAAAACACTGAATAATATGAACAAATTAACGGACTGCCCCAACTAATTGTTAATGAAAAATAAAACGTTAGTATGAATGACCACAGGAAAATGGAATTAAAGAGATTTCAAGAGGACAAATCAGTCTGAAATAAATCATCCTTGAGAGATAATCATGGAAGTCCCAGTGGCTGATTCTAATACAATTATTTATTTTAATTTCTCCTAATTTATTATTAGATTTTGTGATGACTTCATTGTTTAAAATGGTTGTTCCTGATAATATTCTAAAAATGCCATTAAGCCCAGTGAGTTCTGTGCCTGCATTTTTAAAGCAAGCTATTTCCATTTTCTTCTTCTACAGCCTTTACATATTTCTAAGTCTCAAAATATATCTCAACTGCATTCCCTTGAGTCTTCCACTTGCTCAATTTTTCACTCCAAGAACTCTCAGACTTGGATTTGACTCCAGCACTTCTGAAATATTAAACTTGTCCAACAAGATTGTTTTGCAAGATGTCAAAAGGGAGCCAAATTCTTTTAAAAATTAGCCAGAAACTTGAATGAGTAAAAATTATTTATGTACCGAGGCCAGCACTCATTCACAGGGTGCCTACATATGACTTAGATGCGAAGTCTCTGCTCATTCTCTTTGATGAGTTAAAAAATAAACACAACACAGATTTCTTTATGGTGAGGATACCGAATTGATGACAGGAATTAGCTCATTTATAAAATTAAGATAGCATTTTGAATGAAATACTTAAGAGAACTTTAGTGTAATGTGGACATTCCTAACACCGCTATGTGAGTCTACAGAGAAATAATACTAATAAGAGAAAAACCTAAGGCAGGGATTCTATTTAAAGTAATTACTAATAGTGGGTGAGTCCTAGATACTAGCTAGCTGCCCGTGGCACTGTGACAGGCATTCCCTCTTGGCTGTGATGATGGAGTGGTCCAGGGTCATGGGTGAGGGGGTAGAGACCGGGGCGTCTGCAAAGCAGAGAGACTGTCAGAGAATCAGAATAGTGGCCAAATACCACCAGAACAGGTAGATATTCACTCCAATGATATTTGCTGAATATCAGCTGTGTCCTCAGATTTTGACTGAAAAGTCACTAGCGGTTCAGATCTAGCAAGGCTGTTTTCCGAAAATTAGAGATACGTGGCCCAGTTTTTATTACCATTCATATATAATCAGTTAAAGCTGACGCTGTGGATTTCTTGACATCCACTTCTGTTTCACTACCAGCTACCGCCTTATTCTGCAAACGTGGTCCAAGCCGTAGCAAAATCAAGCAAAAGGAGCTACTGAACGCTCACCACCATTTCAGCTGATCGCATTGGGCCGAAATGGCAGGGGAACTCCAACAGCTGGGAAACAAATGTTGCCCTAATTCCCAGAAAAGTTCCATTAATACAGATCTGGAAGCCACTTTTCCCACTTCTGTAAAGGCTAATCTTCCTAGAGAACCATTATGATTACCTCTCTTCTCATTCTGTGAGATCACATGGGGAATTTCTTTTTCTCTGATCTTTAAATGTTTCATTCAGATAAAATCTTCCATTGACTATTTTGAACAATAGGAATTCGAATCTTCCACTACTACATCTACTTCATCTACTCTTCTACCAACCATAAAATATTTAGATGAATATTCAGATAACCATGTAACAGTGTTTATTACACTAAAGCAACCTTGGTACTAACAATTTATTAAATGTCACCTAGGACTTCCACCTCGGATTCTACACCTATTAAATTTATACACAGATGTATACAGAACTACATATGTACACATGCACTTTTATTTAGAGATAATTCTCAGTACTGCCTACTAAAATAAACATTCCTATCACTGTCACTGCTAAGATTCTGCCATTCTACTATTCCCATGAATAGATGGTTTTGTCTTTTGTCTTAGTCATGAAAATTTAGTCCTTTAGAGCTAAATATTGGCAGTAAATACTTTTGGCATTGATATAAAAGTGGGGCCAAACTCACAAAGTTATGGCAGTTTACTTTTTTCTTCCTGAATAGAAAGGATCTATGATTCAGTTTTATTTTGCTTATATTTATTAACTTTCTGACAGTTGAGTCCTCTGTTAGTAAAGTAATAAGATTTTCCTTATACCTTACACTATAATCATATATTATCAATATTGAATATTGAATTTATATCACAATTTTCAAATAAAAGCACAGAAAATATTTTATGAATTTCTATGGTTCAATCATGATCTACTTTTAGTTATAAAAATAAAAAAAAAAGTTGTACAAAAGAGAATCTACATGATAAGTCTTCCCCAAACCTGACTGACTGAACTTTGGACATTTTACCGGAATCCCACAAAATAATTTGTTTCTCATAATTCTTTCTTACTCTCTCCCAAATCACATTGCTAAATAGGCTGATC